GGCGCTACCGGTTTAAAGGTCCGGCCTTGGGCCTGGACCGGCCTTCGGACCCCTATCTGTCGGGCCTAACCGGGCCCGTGTGACACAGTGTGTAACACACTCCCGCTCTTAAAAGACCGAGCTACTTGCGAGGGCGAAGTTGTCTGTCCGATATCGGGTTGGGTCGGGTGGGACGAGCTTTCTCCTTGGCAAGTCTTCGGTTCCCGTAGTCGAAGAAGATGAGAGGTGCAGATGCCTGTAAGTCTGCGCGGGAGATCCAACGGTTGTCATCTGGGTCACATTGATTGAAAGTGACTTGGTATTGCATTGGCTTGTTGCCAAACTTGCGGTGTCTGATGACACGGTCAACTTCCTGATGACCATCCATAAAGGGTGGATCCTGTGATCGTCTGCCCGGAAACTCATCTGCGGATGGTGGCGTGTAGATGGCTAGCTTCGACGCATGAAAGACCGGATGCACACGGAGGTGCGGTGGAATGGCAATCACAAAGGAAGGACCTGCAGGGTCATCGCTTGCTGCAGAAGTTATCGTCCATGGTCCAAACCATTTCGGGAGGAGTTTGCGCGAGATGTCCTGCTCGAGCGCGAATTCCTCAGCGAGGATCCAAACAAGGTCTCCCTCGCGGAAAGGACATGGAAGTCGACGTCGGTTGGCTTGCTGCTGCATGAGGATTTGAGCCTTTTGCATATTTGTGCGGGCTTTGATCAGCAAGTCCCGGTACTTTCGGACGGAATTGGGAGAGGAAGCGACGTCTATGTCGGCGGCCCGTGGTAGAAGAAGATCGACAAAGACTCAGGCTTTCTCTCCACCGTGATGCAACTCGAATGGAGTGATGCAGATCGCCGAGTGCACCGAAGTCTTATAGGCGAACTCGATGTCGGGAAGCCGGTCAACCCAATCTTTCTGGTCGGGACGGATGAGTGTATGTAACATCATTTGAGCGGTTTGATGCGCTCATTCTGACTGTCCATCCGTCTGTGGGTGCCGTGCGGAACTCGGCTTCATAGTCGAACCGCACTCCGTCATGAGGGAAGTCCAAAATGCATACATGAAGCGAGTGTCTCTGTCGCTCACAATATCTTCCGGAACACCATGGGCGGTAATCCAGCCGGTGTGCAAGAGTCGAGCGAGCTCGGGGGCTGTAGCACGATACTTGCATGGAAGAAAACGAGCGTACTTGCTCAAACGGTCAACGACCGTGAGAATGCCGCCATGGCCGAGGTGATCGCGGGGGAACTGGCTTGTAACATCCATAGCAATGGAGAGGCGGGGTGCCCGAGGAATTGACATCGGTTTCAGTTCGCCATAAGGGACCGTAGATCGACCTTTGTTACGATGGCAAACTGTGCATGACTCAATGTACCTCGTGACGTCGTGAAGAACGTCGGGCCAGTGAAAACGCTGGCGGAGGCGAGCCAATGTGCGGTTCACGCCAAGATGTGCCGAAAGTCGTGCGTCGTGGAATTCACCGAGAAGACGAGTCCGTAAGATGCGATCTTGGGGCACCATTAAGAAGTCCTTCCCTCTCGTGTGAAGAAGTAGGAAACCGTCGGAGATACGATAATGACCAGCCGGCGTGATCCGATGATAGGTCCGCATAGAGCGTAGAGTACGTCGGATCGGACTTGTAGCCGTTGACGAAATGCTGTTGCAGATCGTCGTCGAGGTCGAACGTCGTGGTCACAAGGGCACAAAGATCGGACCGTCGTGAGAGGGCGTCCGCTGCTCGATTGGCGGGACCGGGAATGTGGCACAGCTCAAAGTCGAACTGGTCGATGTAATACATCCATTGACCGATCGTGCTAGTGACCGTGTCCTGCATTTTGTAGAAGGTTAACGGATTGTTGTCCGTGTTCCATCTAAAACGCCGACGATCGAGAAGAAAGTGGCGCCACCGTTTGAGAACGGTGACGAACGTGAGTAGTTCTTTCTTCCTAGCGTCGTCGAGGGTGTTGATGGGAGACACTTTTTGGGAGAAGTACTCGACTGGGTGCCAACCATCTGTGTGGCATTGTTCCAATACCGCACCAATACCATACCCAGAAGCATCCGTAGTCACTTGGGTGGGTAGGGTGGGATCATAGATACGGAGGGCCGGTGCGTCTTGCATCGCCGCCTTCAACGTATTGAACGCACCACGAGCTGCGTCGTCGAACTTGAATGGTACCTTCGGGGACTGAAGTCTCGACAAAGGAGCTGCCACTTTGGAGTAAGACTCGACGAAGCGCTGATAATATCCAGCCAAACCCATGAAAGAGCGTACGTCCGTCGTGCAACGGGGTTCCGACCAATCCACGATGGCTTGGATCTTGTCCGCTAAGGGACGACTGCCTTTCGGATCACATAATGGCACAAATACTCAAGCTCTTGCTTGGCGAATTCGCACTTGTCGCGGTTTGCTTTGTACTTGGCTGCTCGCAAACGATCCAACACCACACGAATGTGTACGAGGTGCTCGTCGAGCGTCTTGCTATAGACCAAGATATCATCGAGGTAGATGAGGACGGAACGATCGAGCAAGTCTCGGAACTCCGTTGTCATGGTTGCTTGGAAGGTTGTCGGGGCATGGGTGAGCCCAAATGGCATCACGACCCACTCAAAATGCCCATACCGCGTTTTGAAGGCGGTCTTGTACCGATCTTGAGGCTGGATTTCAATCTGGTGGTAACCCGACTTCAAGTCCAACTTCGAGAAGGACGGCGCGTCGCCCAACTGCTCGAGGATATCATCAATCCGAGGGAGAGGGCCGGCGTTCTCAACGGTTTGTGCGTTAAGTTTTCGATAGTCAATGCACAACCGTAGGTCCTTGTTCTTCTTCTGGACGAAGAGAAGTGACGCACCGTATGGCGAACAACTAGGGCGAATCCAGCCCTTGTCGAGAAGTTCATCAAGTTGTGCGCGAAGCACCTCGAGTTCCTCTTCGCTCATGCGGTAAATGCATCCACGCGGAGGGACGGCACCAGCCTCGAGAGTGATCCCGTGACGTATGGGCCGATCCGGAACCGTTCCGGTGGGAGCCTCGAAGACGTCTCCATGTCCGTCTAAGAGGTGGATAATACGTGGGTCCGACGGCGACGCGGCTGGTCCGTCCGGCGAGGGGAGGGCATGTAAGAAAACAAGGCCCATCTCCTCGACGTCATTCCGAGCTATGGCGTCGCGAATCCGCGCAACGGAAACCACGTGACAAGCAATCGAAGTATGAGGGGTCGCGACCGTACATGGGACTAACACTCCGTTCCGATCACGGACGTGAACGGTTCGGTCATGAAAGTTCACCGGATGATCAGCGTTACGCAACCAAGACATGCCTGGAATCATGTTGAACTTGGTGTCAAGGATGTCAAAAGACACCGGCTCGCATGGAAGGGGCGCAAAGTATACCGGGACGCCGTCAATGCATCGGTCAATCGACTTTTGCGTATGGCCATAAAGGCTTGGCTCATGAAATTGCGAGATGCTCCGCAATCAATCAAGGCACTGCAAGTTGCCTTTCCGATTTGAATGCGGATATAGAGCAAAGGTGCGTCGGTCTCGGCGTACCTTTGGGTGGCATACTCACGGTCAATCTTCGCAAGATAGGAGCGGAGATCGACAACCGCTACTTCGTCGTCCGTCAACGGAGCTGGTATTGCAGCGTGCAAATAGGAGCGTAGATTTGCCATCAAGACGTTACAATGCGGCCTTGGCAAGGTCCCGGTTGAGGGTAGAGGCATCCAAGCGAAGTCCTCTCTCGTGAGCGGGTCAAGCTCCTCAAGTCTTGACCACGCCGTCGAGTCCTCGGAAATCAGTGGCGAGCTGACCGGTTCACTTGCCGACGGTGTACAGGCTGCGCATACGCTATCTAAGTGCACGTGGCTAGGCTGGTGTAATGGTGGTACCAGCTGGGCGGCATAATCCTCGTACGTAGCACGAGAATCAGCGACCGACGCATGCTCCCCGGTAGTGATATCGGTTGCTAGCAAGGCAACCGCTTCCGGCGGAGTGAGGAGAGGCATCGCCCCTCTTCTTGCGTAACTCAGTTTCCCGAGTTAGCTGGACGGGGTACGCGTGCCTTGTCCTTGTCCGAGCATTGTGCGGTAGTGTGGGTTACACTATTGCACCATAGGCAATATCCGTACCGTTGACGCAGGTCAAATACCTCCTTGGTTATGTTGTATGCCGTCCATGGTTGCTGCCCAGTTCCCGTCGATGTCGTCGCTTGTGTCGCCTTGTTCTTCCGAACTCTCTTGGGACTCTTCGGCGGGAGCGCTGCAACAACTCCTCCATCACTCGAGGATGCTGCTGCAGCGTGGAGATCAACTGATTCGTCAGAAATCACGGCATTGTTATGTGTCGGTCGTTGGTAGCCTGGCTTAGCCACATAGTGCGGCTGGGACTGCCATTCGTTGGCGGCCTTGTCATCCGTTTGGATGACCAGGTTCGCACGATCCAGAATGGCGTGGAATGAGGAATAGTCGTACTCGTTGCCGAGTGCCAACCGCAGTCCTGCGCATGATCGCGAAAAGAATTCGGATCGTTGGTTTGGAAAACTCAAGTCGAAGCCTGGAGTGGTCACTATCTTCTGTCACTTGATCGTCCAGTCTCGAGTTGGCATGTTTCCTTGTGAGCTGGTGTAGACCTCGTTCATGGATGCCTTTACGACGTTGCGGACCATGAATCGAGTGAACCACAGTTGTGCGAACTCCTTCCACGGAATGTGCGTGTGGAGTTCGGTGATGGTGCATTTCTGATTGGCCGCGAGATGGTCCATCCATGCCTGTGCTCCTCCAATAAGTTGGAGGTAGAGCGCATTCATCATGTCTTCGGCCGGTACAGTGCAGCAGGATGCTTCGGTGAGGAAGCTTTGCCACCATGTCAAGGCGTCCGTCTTGTTGTAGTCGTCAAACTTGCTGATGTTGAAGTGCGGCATCTTGTATGTCTTTGGAGCGGCGTCCGATCTTGTCTGCAGTTTGGTGATGTCCGTCTTGATGGGGGCCACCGTCTTGCTGATCGTAGCCGGACTAGTGAAATCACCTAGTTCGCCGATAATAGTGAAGACATGGTCGATGCGCTCCCCGAGCTGCTTCGCCGTGTCTGTTGTGCAGCCTGGCGCTGCTGAGGCTTTAGCCTCGATGCTGTTGACGCGTGCGGTGGTGGTGTTCAACAGCTGTTGCTGTTATTGCTGATGTGTGGCGGCGGCGAGAACAGCGGCTGTTAAGGCTGCAGCATCTTTCTGTTCAGCCTGTCGCAGCTGTCTGCCCTCGTGTATCTGCACAGTTAACATCGTATTGGTCCACATCACCGCCCGCATCACGTTCAGCATCAGGTCAGCCAGGTTACTCCTTTCTGCCTCCGCCGGTGTCGGTTCCGCCCGTTCGTCCGAAGGCTCAAAAAGCATGCCTTGGAGTAGTGTCGTCCAGTGACTCTCGTTCTGAGTCAAGGATTCCATGCTGATGGCGTTCCGCTTGTCTCGAACCATCACATCAGCCTCAGCAATTCGCTGAGCTTGGGCTGCCGCCTCATTGGCCAGCCGCTGACGTCCCGCCTCTGCTGCCTCCTGCTGTGCCTTAGCGGTAGCGACGGCATTCGTAAATGCCTGTACCCGCTGAAGGTAATCAGACAATGGCTCGTGGGCCCCTTGGACCGGACATGCGGGAAGAGCCCCGGTGGTAACCGGTACTGCAGTTGCTGTACTCGATGCCGCTGGAGTCGTCCGCCTGCTGAGTTGCTGTTGCTGATACTTAGTTCGTGGAGGTACCACAGAGTGGCTACGAACTGCAAGCCTGGCACTGTGTTGTGGCAGTGCCCCGGTGTCCTGTTCCGTTGACATCAGCACAAGCTGATGTGGTACTTGAGAGTTCCCGGTGGTCACAGATTTCGGGGAGGGTAGGGAGTGTGGGAACAGGGGTAGAACAGATCACGCAATTCTCATACAGTACCTGTCCCAATTGTGGACTAGACACCTAGCAAAAGAAAAAGGATGAACTTTTCCCCAAAACAACTCAGAAATTCGTAATAAGAAATAATAACGAATTAATAATCAATAAAATTTAATTAATGATTAATAATGAATTAATAATCTCTTAATAATAATTAACAAAATTAATCAATAATTAACGAATTTTAAATTGTGAAAAGATTAGGTATCCGTTGAGATCACCTATGGTCCGGGAGTTCACCGTTTATTAGTGAACTACCCGGAAGTTGCAGTTCTGAAGGAATGATTCTGAACAGTTTGCCAAAAAAAATTTCGGATAGTCAGGAAGGAAAACACTCGAATTTTCGAAAAACGTAAAATTTCGGGAATTTCCACCTACAAAAGTCCGATTTTCAAAGGCCTGAGTCCGTATTCGGAATTTCTGAAATTAGGGAAAGAAAAAATTTTCACGAAAATTTCGGATTCCAACCCTAATTTTCCGCGATTCCGCGGAATTTCTGGTTTTACGGTTCCAAAACATTCGAATCTCCCAAATTGAACGAAAAACCGAAATTTATCATAACCAGGGCTGGTCCCCGGATGGACCGGGGACCCCTACCCCATCCGCGGTCCTTCCGGTTGGACCGGCCGGTGGCCCGGGCCGGTTCCCTCCCGGTTGCCCCCAGCGCATTTTCGCTGGGGGCTGAATTTTTTTTTTTTGTCAGCGCGTATGTGTTCCCAAGGCCTCGTGGGGGCGGGCCCTGCCCCGCAGTTTCGAAACCGGGTCCTATAGGCCCGGATTTTTCAAGTACAGAAAGCGGCCAATCTTGACCGCCGATCGTCGCAGATCAGCGGCAAAGATCGGCCAGGACCCCATTTTTATAAGAAAAACGGGCAGAGGATATCCGCCGCTGATCTGTGCAGATGAGCAACGGAGAACAGCCATGCGTTTTTCCTAAGATGTGGGTCGGGTAGGCCCCTAATCCAATTTGTCATCTTGTGGTCCAATGTACCAGTTACCATTGGCAACAGCTGATGCTCTTTCACCCTCAGCCACGAGGGGAACACTATGCTTCTGATGAGACTCTGCTGAGATTATATCCTCCTGCGACGTCCCTGCCATCTGTGGAAAAAGTTATGGGTTCGGATTTTGGAATTGTGATTTCAGAGCCGTCTGAGGTGCAATCCCAAGAATGGACCTAAAATATATGGCGTTGCTGCACTACTCTCGACATGCACAAAAGACAAAAATCTTGGCGGTGTATCTTTCCAAATTCTAGCGGAAGATTCACTCTCGTTTTGCACATTTCGAGAGTAGTGCAGCGAGGCCCATATTCTTCTCTCTATCTATCTCGAATGGACCTTGCTCCACTACATGTATCTGGATAGACTGCCAGACAAGATACTTCCGGACTGACAACTCACCTTATGTAGGAACCAACAAACAGAAAATGCTCTGCCTCCACGAGCAGAAAGCTGGAACCGTCACTTTTCTGCTCTCGAATTATACTCTGGAAGAGCTATAACTTCGGGCAAGGACCTCCTCTCATCATATCTGGTTCAGCTGGTGGGGTATCAATATCAAATGACATACTCCACGAAGTGCTCCATCGACAGGGGGGTCGGATAAGTGAACTTGCTTACTTGACCCCTCCCTGAGGAAGCCGTAGTTGCCTGAATATGTCAATGATAACCCCCTGCCCCCTCTGGAAGCCCCCTGAAAAATGTTGTACCTTAAAAATTTTATTGCGGATTCGGACAGCTCTTGAAGAGCGCAGTCGGAATCTGCCCGAAAAAAAAAAATAAAAAAAATAAAAAAGATATTTGGGCACTTTTTTTTCAAAACCGGTTTCCCGGTTCACCCCCCCTGGTCTGGTCCGGCTCTGGTTGGACCGGGGTAGCTCAACCGGCCGGTTGCCGGCCCAGCACTGATCGTAACCCTAATTCCAATACCGAAATAAAACAGAATACCGATTTAAAAACCGAATACCGGATTAAAACAGAATGCCGAATTAAAACAGAATACCGAATTGAAATCAGAATGCCGAATTAAAACAGAATACTGATTTAAACAGAATAACGAATTAGAATCAGAATACCGCATTAAAGCAGAATATCGGATTAAACAGAATACCAATTAAACGGAATACCGGATTAAACAGAATACCAGATTAAAGCAGAATCCCGAATTGAAAATCAGAATACCGAATCGAAACGGAATGCCGAATTAATTGCAACTTTGAATCTCGATAGTAATGTAGAACTGATTTGGAAGATCGAATAAGCAATCTATTCCCTAATCAGACTTACCTTGTGAGCAGATCCATTATTTGGTCTGCTCCAATACCAAAACTGTTGCATACTAGTGAGTACTTCAACAAGTATGAGCAGAACCAAAGATCAACCAATGTAGGGTGAGCATGTATGCAGCGGACGTCTGATAAATGGACTGACTCACATAGACTGAAGTCACACAGATATCACTCAACACACAAACAATCATGAGATGGTGGGGTCTGAGCCAATCATAGACGCTGCTCAGGCCCCGTACAACCATACACAGATGAAAGGTGGGAGGAGAGACGAAGGAGGTGGGAGATGTAGGCAGCGCCAGATGTCACCGAGATAGAATCCAGTAGGTCACCGACATGGTAGTCCAAAATGTCATCGAACAAGATCAAAATGTCGTGGACAATAAGTCACCAATGTCGGAGGTACAGAGTCCACTGGTGTCCAATCTGTGATGCCGCCGAGTCTCAACCCCAACAATCTCCAAGTCTCGAATCCGAGTATCACAGCCTCTTACCACCGAAGTCCAACACTGATCTCTGTCCAACTCGTATCAAGTCTCCAATCTGATGAAGAAGAAGAAGAAGAAGTCTGAAGAAGAAGAAGAAGAGGAGGAGATAGCAGAGGAGGAGGGAGAGATGGCGAGGTAGGGAGGAGTGTCCTCGTTACCCTGTCCTGGTCCGAAACCCTACCTGCAAGGTGCAAGGTGGTGCCTTGAAGCCTTCTGCAGTCGAAGTCCGCGGAAGCTATGGCGCCACAGGTAAGTACCAGGTAAGTCTCTCGCTGCTCTCTATCCCGAACTGCAGTCTGGCGCTAACCTCGCGCTACTGCAGTAGTGCTGCGCTCTAAACAGAATAGCGCAGCGTTCTCTCCAAGGGCTGCTGCTCCAGAATGCCTGAACAGGCAGCCTCCTGGTACCTAAGTACCGGTGTGGCAAGGCCGGCCTCTATGCTGCAAGGCCGAGCCGTGATCTGAATCGTCAAAAGTGACGATTCAGATCAGACCGGCGGGCGGCAGCCTCAAGAGYGCCGCCAGGCCCAACGGTAACGTCGTTTGGGCCTGCCCGTCTGGTCTGGTCCTGAATGTGGCCTAAAGGCCAACCGGTGGGCCTGTAAATGGCGCTACCGGTTTAAAGGTCCGGCCTTGGGCCTGGACCGGCCTTCGGACCCCTATCTGTCGGGCCTAACCGGGCCCGTGTGACACAGTGTGTAANGGCGCTACCGGTTTAAAGGTCCGGCCTTGGGCCTGGACCGGCCTTCGGACCCCTATCTGTCGGGCCTAACCGGGCCCGTGTGACACAGTGTGTAAGAGAGAGAGAGAGAGAGAGAGAGAGAGAGAGAGAGAGAGAGAGAGAGAGAGAGAGAGAGAGAGAGAGAGAGAGAGAGAGAGTTTCCATCGGTCTATTGCCTCCACCCTTCGTGCATCACGTGTCGCGTTTGTTTTTGCGAGCGAAGCCGCAACAGGTGATCTAGTATAGATTGATTGTGAAAAACTACAGCAGCATAGCTACTTCCTTGACAGATTTGACTCCACTGGACAACCCCTGGGAATGGAATGGTGAGTGTGAGCAAGCCTTCAAGCAATCGAAGACTGCCCTCACCAACTACCCTGTTCTGAAAATTGCAGAATCGGACAAGTCTTTTGTATTAACCACTGTGTAGGTGCAGAGCTACAGCATGTAGAGGGTAACAAGTTGAGGCCTTTTGAGTACATATCTAAAAAGATGCCATCCAAGAAGCTAGTGGCATCTACATATGAGAGGGAGTTATACACACTCTATTATGGCTTTTAAACACTGGCGGCATTATCTGCATGGCTGATGCTTTGACGTTGATTCTTACCATGAGAGACTTCAGTGGATCAAGACCGAAGCACACCTCTCTGACCAACTTAAGATGTATGCAGTTCAAAGGTATGTATGATTTCACTCTGAAATATCAGAAAGGGAAGTTTATTTTTTTGGATGGCGCATTGTCTAGAAGAGCCGACTTCCTAGGTGCCATGGTGACTGAGATAGGGTTAGACGAAAATGTGGGTCAGCAGGTTGTTAACTCCTACAAAAGGGATGATAATATTATGATATACTCAGTGAAGTCATGAGACTCCTTGAAGCTTAGGATAAGAAGATCGGTACATGCTGGTGCCTAATTAAAGGCAGAGGAGGATCACCAAAGGCACAGATGCAGCTTAGAGTGCGATTCGGACATCATACGGAGCCAAGTCACAGGATGATCACCAAAGGCACAGATGCAGCTTAGAGTGCGATTCGGACATCATACGGAGCCAAGTCACAGTGGTTCACCAGAGAGGATGTTATGTATGTACCCGATTGAACTTCAATCCACAGTTAATTCACACGTTTCCATTCACGCATGCATTTGCAGAGTAGACTCGAAGGAGGCAAATCCACACAAAACCGGAGAGGAGACTGCACAGCGGAAGCTCAAAACACACAGAGAATAGAAAGATGAATTTCAATTCTCCAATCCTCCGTCCTCCTACAATCAATCTGGAGTACTTCTTCCAAGAATCACAACCACGTTGTCAACAACCTCAAACAACCAAAAAGAAATGTTCAACAAAGTATGCAGGACTCTTCTTCTTCCTCCTCGCCACCTCGTACCCCTGGCTATGGCTTCCGTAGCAGCAGTAACCCCACAGCTGTCACAACGTGCCAATCTGAACCAGCAAGCCCAATGATAGCAGCGTCAGCTCAGCG